AGGTAACTTGATTAAGAAATATAAAAAAACAGCGTCAAAAATGGCTATATCAATTGTTAATTATAGCGGCCTTACTTAAAAAATTCAATTATTCAAAAAACGAACGTGCTCATTTACAATATCTAACTACATTTTCCATCCCTGTTTTCAGGGAAGTTGGTCGGAGTAAAAAAAACAAAGAACCTATAGCAATCTTCACGTGCGCTCTGCCAATATAACCGTATTTATAAGGTGCACTCTGCCGAAAATTAAATATCGGTGCACTCTGCCGAGAAAACTTAAAGGTCTCAGTTTTCGTTCAGTAATCCAAAATGTGCGCAATTAACGACTGTTATCTTTTAATTAGTACATTTTAGTAAAATTTTACTTCATCAAAAAAAATTTGATGTTTTTTTTTTACAAAATTTATGAAACATTTATAAGTGCGCTCTACCTACAAAACCTGTTAAGTTGCGCTCTGCCAAAACGACTTTTGAAAACCCTGTTGGGCTAATTTTTCATAAAAATTCAACATCTGTAATTGATTTAAACTACATTGCCTCGGTTTCCATCAAGAGAAACTATGGTTTTCTTTCAATGTTTTTTTGCCAAAAATATTAATATACGTGCGCTCTGCCGTTTGCTATTATTTTCATTATTCAATGAGCAAGGCTAAAGGAAAAAGAAAGATGCTAAACTATTATATATTGCACCATATTCTCAGCCACTGCTCCGAAGTCTCGTTTATATTTTTTGACAACCAGGTACTATAAAATGTGTGTTCTATAAGCGCGCTCTACCTACAAAACCTGTTAAGGTGCGCTCTGCCAAAACGACTTTCGAAAAGCCTGTTGGGCTAATTTTTCATAAAAATTCAACATCTGTAACTGATTTAAACTACATTGCCTCGGTTGCCATCAAGAAAAACTATGGTTTTCTTTCAATGTTTTTTTGCCAAAAATATTATAAGTGCGCTCTGCCGTTTGCAATTATTTTCATTATTCAACGAACAAGGCTAAAGGAAAAAGAAAGATGCTAAACTATTATATATTGCGTCATATTCTCAGCCACTGCTCCGAAGTCTCGTTTATATTTTTGACAACCAGGTACTATAAAATGTGTGTTCTAACATGTTGTTCAAGAACTTCAAAGTTTTAAAAAATTGTCATGGGGGCCAAAGTTTGCTTTGTTTGAACAGAAAAATGCTTTTTTCATGGAAACATTTTGATTGGCGCACAGGCGTTATCTTCAACGCCTAGAACCAGACCTATTGAAAGCAGAACAACTTTATTTTAAACAATTTTACCCCAACTTTTTTTTTGCGCCAATCAATTGGTTTAAAAAAATTGGCTACGTTTTTTTTTGCTAATGACAAAAAAAACAGTGTCTGGCAATATAATTTATGCAAAATTAAGTATCTATGATGTTGAATAGAATCACCATAACCTTCTGGTAAGGTGGAAAACTTGATCAGGCTTCCAATTTCTTGAAAAATGACAAGGTTTGACAGCCAACTCATCAAGTTTCAACGCAGGGCTTAAAAGAGTGAAACCGACCGATCTGAGTGCCAAAAATATACCAAAAATTTCGAATCCTACATTAACTAAGTTAAAACTCTACGCGTAACACAACCAAATATCGCGAGGTTCCTGCATGCAGCTAATACAATTACCATTTGACCATTCTGTGAACAAAATTTTTTACAGGAAAAAAAAGTCTAGTACTCGATTGCAATACCCTTGCTTATCGCAGCAAGGATAAACAGATATCTGAAGCCAGTACTTTGTAGTTTTTTAGCATGAAATGGACTGAAAATTTAGTTTCGACCACTTGCGCAGAATGAGAAAAACTATCGTCCAGGCTAGGTTTTTCAGACTTGATTTTTACTATCTCAAAGAGAGCACAAATTTGACGTAGCACAATTATTCGCTTCTTTAGGAAAAAAACTGCTTAATTAAAATTTAACAACTTATAGGAAAAAATATAGTAAGAGTGAGATGTTTCACAGTCAAAAAGGACTGTGAATAAGAAAAAGTGAATACTTCGAAGAGCAACATTTATCTCTATTTAGTTGCCTCAAAAACTGTCCGTAAAATTTCTTCGTATAATGAAAGGAAGTTTTTTGTATGACCAAACTCCTTCCAAAAAACATCGCACTAACGTAAAACTTTACATATATGAACACATAGATACAAAGAGTCTTATGGTCTTTTTACTTGTTTTGCCAAAATTTTGTTTTTTAAAAAAAGGTTTTAAGAAACGGAGTAGAAATGGGGTTTTATAACTTATACGACTTTTTTGTAGTTCATTTCCTTCAGATGTTCAAAACTGAGCACGTGCCTTTTTTTTGAATAATTTGATAAATTTTCATTTTCAATGAAGTTCTTTTTTATACTTTCGGTTACTGAAAATTTCTGAAACAAAAATTTGAAGAAACGCTGAAAATTGAATTTTTTTCAGCTTTTTTCCTAAGCATGTAACCATTGCGGATTGTACAACTTCTTACATCAACCTTCTTTTTTTCCTACAAACAGTACATAAATTCTTCTTTTGCTTCATGCATTGCTTTAGATAAATTAGCCAGTACTTTGTAGTTTTTTAGCATGAAATGGACTGAAAATTTAGTTTCGACCACTTGCGCAGAATGAGAAAAACTATCGTCCAGGCTAGGTTTTTCAGACTTGATTTTTACTATCTCAAAGAGAGCACAAATTTGACGTAGCACAATTATTCGCTTCTTTAGGAAAAAAACTGCTTAATTAAAATTTAACAACTTATAGGAAAAAATATAGTAAGAGTGAGATTTTGATTGGCGCACAGGCGTTATCTTCAACGCCTAGAACCAGACCTATTGAAAGCAGAACAACTTTATTTTAAACAATTTTACCCCCAACTTTTTTTTTTGCGCCAATCAATTGGTTTAAAAAAATTGGCTACGTTTTTTTTTGCTAATGACAAAAAAAACAGTGTCTGGCAATATAATTTATGCAAAATTAAGTATCTATGATGTTGAATAGAATCACCATAACCTTCTGGTAAGGTGGAAAACTTGATCAGGCTTCCAATTTCTTGAAAAATGACAAGGTTTGACAGCCAACTCATCAGCCTGTGCGAGTAATTGTTACTGATATTCGAGAGTACGTTTGAAACACATATAAGTAAACGGTACCAGAAAAAATAGAAATTAAAAAAATTATTGAAAATTGTAGAAGTGGTAAAAAGTCGGCAGAGCGCCCGTATAATTAAAAAATGTACCGATTTGAAAAATTCAAAACTCATAAAAGTTGATAACGAATGGTTCTCACGATGAAAATTTTTGTTTTGCTCCCACAAAATTTTTCGTACAGATAAGTTAGCCCAAATTTTATTCTGGAGCTCGAGTGCGCTCTGCCGTTGTTTAATTTGGGATCACGAGTGCGCTCTGCCAAAACAACACCGACGAACTATAAAATTGAATCCAAAAATAATCATGAATTCAGCGAAAAAAACTCAAGCATGCTAACAACCAAGAACGACTATAAAGTTGGGCCTAAATTTATCTATTGCGTATAAGTATGCAGTCAATTGGAATCTGGAAAAGAGCCAATGAACGTAAGAAAACAGAAAAACTTCAATTTTTGCTCTTCAAAAGCAACGAAGTATACCCTTACTGCTCTTTCAATTTCAAAAAAACGTTATGATTGACACGTTTTTGATAAAAATTAACTGAATTTGAGAAAACTGTAGCCATTTCTGTTAGTATTTACAGAGCGCAATTTACCTATATTAAATAAAGCAGATTAACTTGAAGTGCACTTAAAAAGAGCATATATACTTAAATGCATTAATATCTATGAATGAACATCTGTAGTTATTAGAGCATTTTAAGATTTTCCTGAAAAAAAAAAACAGAAAAACCAAGAACTATATAAGTCTTCACTACTTTCAGTGACTCTTAATCAGCAGTTTCAAATACTTTTTTGAAAGCAAATTTTACAAACAAGATGCTTGCATGAAGTCCAAGTAGCCGGTTTAATAATAATTGCCAACCGTAAATTGTAATTAAGAAGTCTATTGGAACTAGAACATCCTGCTGTGGTATACCTAGTTGTTTAAAATAATCATTCAAGACATTAAAAATTTCACCAAAACCTGGCAAACATTAACATGCGCATCAATGAAGTGGGAACAGCGCATGCAAATGAAAATTCATAATGAACAATATGAAGAATAAACATTCTCACAACATAACAGGAGCTGCATATCTAATTAGCGCCTGTTTTTTTTCCTATTTTAAATAATCATTGTGATATTTTTGAAAAATAATTTTTTCCGCAAAATAAAACAAAACAAAAAAGAGCTGAAAAAATGTTTAACACGGAGGCGAAGCTTCGATTCGCTAACACTTGCGAGAAAACGACAAAAAGCAGTTCTATATGGAAAATTATAAATAAGCCTCGAATTAGTAAAAATTCGGTTATCTCTGAGATTCGAACCTGCGACCTAGAGATTAAGAGTCTTACACACTAATACTCAGCCCCGGATGCTTAAAAAGCACCAAACACAAGCCACAAGTAAAGAAGAGAACAGATCATATGCAATTTCCAATGCTACAAAGAAATTCCAAATAAGTGAACACTTTTAATGATTACATTTATTTGCGAGTTAGGTTAGAATAAAAGGTTCGTAATAATTCACTAAGCTGATCGCAAGTGTAAAAAGCATCGGATAATTCAAATTTGACCATGTTAATTTCTGAGGTTATTCAACCGACATCAAGCTTGTCTGACATACGCTTTACCAACTGCATTACTGAGCATATCAAATAACTAGGCATATCAAAGAACCCAAAAGCTCATATGTACGAATCCCGAGAACAACATGTAATACATCTTGTGCAACTTTGCAAAATCGAAAAAGCGACTTATCCAGAAAACTATCAAATCCCCGAAAAACTAAGAGCTGAAACAATTTTGATAAGTAATTGTTCCACCGATACCACGGAAAAATGTTTTTTTTTTAACGGAATGTTCAAAAGATGCTTAAAAACGAAATTGAATTAACAAGGTCCTATTTTTGTTTTTAAATTTTTATACAATAACTGTATGGACATATTTACATAACTGCATGTTTACATATTTACAATTCATAGACCACTATCAGTAATTATAAAGAAGATAAAATTTCCCCGTGGTCATTACGGTGTGAGCATCTGAAACAATATGGAGTTAACACGCTGTAATTTCGATTTACCGGACCTTGTTAATCACTGCCACCGCAATTGCATAAACGGAGAAATTAATTACTATGTGAATCAACAAGTGATTATTCAATTACTGAAGATTATTGACAATTCAGTTATTTATTCATTTCACTTCATTGTAGATGAGTTCTTCGGGAGGAAGTGTCTGAGCCACTGCGGCCAACTCTTCCACATGACTGTGTTGTCTCTGAACCTGACCCACTTCCTCACTCAACTCATCTGCCAGTTGGTCCAAAGTAGAGGAGGAGGGGGAGAAGAAGTCCGCACAGTACTCGTGGATGTTGTCAGGTCTATCAGTCAACACTTTCTACACAAAAACGCAAACCCTCAATTTATAGTTAAGTGTTGCACATTTTTGTGATTTGAACACTAAGTCGAAGCTTCGCTTTTCAATCACTAGCGAGAACACGACAAGAAGCAGCTCACGACAATAAAGTGCCATAAAAAATAAAGTGAGCGAGAACACAATAAAGTGCCATAAAAAACTAGAAATAAGCCTCGAATTAGTAAAAATTCGGCTAACTCTGAGATTCGAACCTGCCACCTAAAGATTAAGAGTCTGACAATTCACAATCACTCAGCCACGGAAGCTTAATAGTCACCAGCGTAATAAATGGACAAAACGAATAAAACTTGGAAATTTAAACGCGATTTTCTCAAATTGGACAGGCTTAAGAAAAAAAAAGTGATGACGAAAACTGATTAGAATTAAAATCGTGCATTTTTTTTTCAAAATTCGGTCCAAAAATTTTAACCAAAAATGGAACATTTTTTTTCTCAATCAAAAATTAAATTAAACTACTGGTTCAATTGCGGACAAAATTATATCAAAGTGAGCCTCTTAGTAAGCCCAACAAAGCTCATGAAGGGAATAATCTTCTTAATTTTGTATAAATAAATGTATTTCGTTGGATAGCCAAAAATCACAAAAAATGCCAGTGAATGATACTATAAATGATCCAAATTGGGTAGAAATTTTGGCCCGATTTTTGCCAAAATAAATGGCACCGCAAAAAAATTGCTAAAACTCTATGCAATTTCTGTCATCATCATTTTTGTCTAAAGTCAACCCAATTTGAGAAAACCGCGTTTTATTCTTTTTGTGCCGGTAATTATAATCAGCAAAGTAGCTCAAATTTCTGATCACATAAATTAACACAGAGTCAAAGCGGAGCTTCGCACCACTTGCGATACAATACAAGTCGAAAAAACATGAAAATGTCGAAAAAAAACTAGGTGAACAAAAGCTTTCATATGTCTCGACGAGGGACACTTAGAGCCCAGCTAGATCTGGAGGTAATTGTATGATAATTTTTGAATTTGCTATACTGATGCGCGAAAATTAGACTTTGTCCAAAACCTTAGTTGCTTGGAATTTTCCCAAGAACATAACATTTCTCCTACAAAAAATAAGGGTTTGCCGTTTCTGCAGGAAAGATTGCGGAACCGCTTCTTTCGATTGAATTTTTCATATCAGATTTGATTGGGTAGCTTTAAATGAACGTTCCAAAATTTTTGACTTTTTCTGCTAAAGCAGGTGGTGGCCGGTAAAGTAGAGAAGATTCCCAGAATCCAGTTTCTCGATCAAACACTTAACCTGAGAATTGGCACAGTAATTTTCGAGTCAAGTCAAAACTTTTAATTTTTCGTGTCGAAAAAAACTTGGGCTTAGTCGGGTATGCAAAGGAGCTTCCCAAAACCCGTTCTATGGATTGAACCCAAAATCCCAGATATGTAAGGGTATTTTTCGGTTAAATTCATAAAATTAAGAAAAAACGCTCAAAAAATGAGTTTCCGAAGACGATAACTTTATATGTGTGGCCGCCAATTCAGGTGAGATTTTCATTATCCGTTATCTCCATTGAACTCAGGTTTGGGAGGTTATTTTTCGAGAAAAATCAACAAGATTCACAGAACGGTCAAAACAATTAAAAACTCACTGTTCCGAGGGCCATAATTTTAGGTGTAAAAAGTTTGGGCGTAGCCACGCATGGAGAGAAGCTTTTCAAGACCGCAATACTCACTGAAACAACAGTCTTAGATTTTTTATGTTAGTTTTTGAGAAAACGAAATAAAAATATCGGTCAATTATTCCCCGTACAGACTTTTTCCAAGGCTGTAGACAAAGGAGTAAAGCAATAAGATGCCAGGTGAGTATGCAGGCACACCTGAGTGTAGGCGGTCTTTCTATGGATACCACTTTTTTGAAAATCGGAAGAGTTTTTGAGAAATTTTCCAGAGCGCCTCAAAAAAATAAAATAAAAACCCTATTCCATACATTTTCATAAAACCTATTTTTATCAAACAGGTTTTCTAGGCAACCATGCCAAGCAAGACAAGTTAAAAATTCAAAGTAGCAACTGAACAAAACTTACGAAGCGGAGACAAGTCCGACAATCTTTGAGCAGACACCAGTTAAGCCGAAAAAAAAACAACTAAAACGTTTCAAGTCCTGAAACTAACGTGTAGTAAATATTACACGCACAGTAGCTAAAATTGAATTTTCATGAAACTGAGCATGTCAGCTGCATTTGAATTTTCATGAAAATGAGCATGTCAGCTGCATTGAGCATGTCAGCTGAAATTGAGAAGTGATTCAATTGATTTTGTTAAACAAGTTGTTAGCCCGAAAAAAGTCTACATTCCGATTTGATAATGCTTGCTATTCACAAGCGTCATCATCATTATATGATTTTTCATTTTTGTTCAAATTCAAGCTTTTTGTGCGTTTATAAATAGATAGGGACAAAAGCTAAGCTGGGAAACATGAAATGTTGCTTCAGTTGACAACAGTTATCGTTGCAAAACTCACAAGTTCGAGAAATTTGAGAAGAACTTGCTGCTAGGAAAAGATGGGACTCATGATAGGAATATATACACTAGAAAAAATAACTTATGCGATGGCGAAATGTGATGCAGTTACTACGGTAG